AAAAAAAAAAAAAAAAAAAAAAAAAAAAAACTAGGTAATGTTACAATGACAATGAGATAAATTACTCTGGTCGACTTCCTTGGTCCATCCTGGGTAACTCACACGTTACTATGTTATACATGTATGCAAGCATAAGTGTGCAGCTGTAGATAGATGAACCAGTACCTAAACAATCTCACTTACACACGCGTTACTATGTATGACAAGTGTTACCAAGTACACCAAGTGTATACTTTATCACTTAGAATACACTTTTGTTGATGTAAATATAGGTGAGAGTGGTACACCGCTGGTCGTAATAAACACACTGAACTTCTCAAGGTCACACACTAGGCCCAGCTTCTGGAGTTACCAGCGTTTTAATGTGTTTATTATGTGTCAGTGCGTGTCTGCAGTCATTAAACTGGTGTATCAGAAGTTAAACACTAAAATCCAGTTGATCAAATAGTCTAAAACAATTTACACAATGTATAACTAGAAGTATAATGATTGCAAATTGTTACTATTACAATTTCAACTAGGCGTCAGACCCACTAGATGAGATGGCAAGGAACATAGATGTTAACAGGCTGACTCTTGCTTAACACAGTTGAAAGGTAACCGAATTACTCAAGAGAGAAAGTATTCATGAAGCTGAACATTATGCAGGGAGTAAGCTTGTTCACAGTAAAAATACAAAGCATAAGTTACACACTCACACCACAGACGAACACTGCAATTTGAAATATTACTGGGAATTTAGCAGTAAAGTTTCAGTCTGAACGAGAAAATGTATTAGAAAACACAACAATGACACTAGGACAAGCAACTTAATTATGTAACCGTATTTAATAGTTCAGTTACACTGAGCAGAGCATGTGTATTACACTGATTTTATCAAATGCAAGGAGTCACTACACTGAAGTACACTCTGAGCCTTTTAAAGTCTTAATACAGGCTTACAAATGACAATTAACTGTTGGGGAAAGCAGCACTTAACACTTCTAGCACACGTATGACAGATGAATGTTCACTGTGTACAAGCCACTCACCACAAGCTTAATATGTTTATAAGTGAACCTCTGGCATGTCCCACTCAAAATGTCAGCACTGCAATGCTCGTCAAATTGTTCTCAAGCCACTACAGGAAACACTGGTATGCCAGCAGCACTGCAGAACGTATACAGACATGCTGGGCCCTAGGACAGATAACTGCAGGCTGCCTTAGCCCGTTCTGGCTAGCTTCTAGTGCCACCTCAAGCTTGCTTGACTGTGCTCGCCAAGCCCGTGCCAACCACCGGACACCTGCTTGCAGCAGGCAGGCAGGCACACAGGGGACACTCGCAAGATGAGCGGAGTGCGGCACAGAGGACACGGGCACTCAAGCACCCATGTGGTCTGGCTAAAACCGCCTCTAGACCACAAGCAAATAGAGGCGAACGGCTGAGTTCCAAATCGAGGAAGGAGAAGGGACAAGGAAAGGATATTAACCTCGCTAGACACAGGCAATATGGGTGTAGTGGCCTGCAGGTCGCAGTGCAATTTTCAAGGTCATTCACTGGGCCCACAGTCGTCTCGAGAGTTTAAACCCAAACCCCGTACTACTTGTTAATGGTACGGCCGGAACACTGTAGAACGTTCACAAAGGCATTCTGGGATTCAGAACAGATGTAGCCTTGGCCTTCACTGGCTGGCTTGGAGCGCTGTTTGGCCTGGATCAGCTAAACTCACCCTTATCCCATATGTAGATAATGGCGACGAGTTAAGGGATACCGGTGAATAGGAAAGTCGAGGAAGGGACATTCACCTCACTAGACACACGCAGTATGGGTGTAAGTGGCATGCGGGTCTTATAGTGCCATTTTCAAGGTCACCCAGCAGGCCAGACATTCCTCACTCATTTTAAGCCTACGTAGGTACTGATGGTAGCACAATGTCCTAAGTCAGCGTAATCCACTCATGCAAATAGTTACAACAAATCTGCAGCACTTGCGGAACTCACATATTCGAGTACCAGCGGGGCAGCAAAATACACCTCTACACTGCACGTCGTTGATAGAGGCGAACGGCTGAGTTTAAAGGAGGAGAGCTGGGGACACAGGAGAACAGCAGGGGCAACTGAGCACGCACATTCGCCTCTCTTCACATAGTCAATATGGGCGAAAGTCTCAGGGGAGGTGATGCAGTGCCTCGCTCAAGGTCACAGGCTGAGGCAGACTTCTCAAGAGTTACCACACACTGCAATACTCGTAGAGATTGTTACTCCAAACTTGCAGAACTTCTAGCACACGTGTCTTGGAGTGAAAGACGAATTTTCAGTGTGTGGACACCTGGGTTACCAACTCACGTAGGACTGCACACTCGTCGTTATTCCTCAAGTTGGTAAAGCGATGAGTTGTGAGCATTTTGAGAGGCACGAGTAGCAGTGGACTAGCAAAATTCGCCTCTACACTCCATGTTGATAGAGGCAAAGGCTGAGGTCAAATGAAAGGCAGAGGGGAAGCAGAGGCCTGTGAGGGCCTTTGCAAAAAGGAAAACTATTTCCAGTGTTTGACCAGGTATATCCTTAGTCACAGCTCGCACATAAGAGTTCTCACAACACTGAAGCTGTCTTCCAACAGTAGGAGTTTTAATGATGACTTATCAGTCGGGAGAAATGGGTAGGCCTGTGAATTAGTAGGTCCAGATCCCCAGCACACGTCTACTCCCCTCAACCACTCAGCCGAGACTGCTCGTACGAATTGTATCGAATGTTGGGTTTTCCATTGAGTGTCGAGGCGAAATTTTTGCGTTAAAATGCATCGAATGTCGGATTTGTCGAGTGTCAATGCCATTGAATGTCGGGGATCCACTGTACAGTGGTACCTTGAGTTATGAACTTAATTCATTCCAGAAGGCTATTTGAGTGCCGTTACCGAACAAATTTGTTCCCATATGGAATAATGTAAATTAGATTAGTCTGTTTCAGACCCCCAAAAATACACTTAGAGAAGCACTTATAAAAATACACTTACATAATTGTTCGAGTTGGGAGTTGTTCGAAACTCGAGGTACTACTATACCACTTGATTTTGCATTTTCACAACCTCACGCGTAACATGTCTTGTATGACAGATAATAAGAGAAATCCTTTGCTAGTATAACCTATTTTATTTGAATGTTATTTTGAGTCCTGGAGGTGGAAAGTACAGTGACTGCTCTCTAAAGGAGGGATTTGAGATATTTTCTGTTTAGAGTGGCATCTAAACTGTTGTATCTGCATGCCTCTGGCATCCTCTCCCACCCTGGCTCGGTGGGAGACAGCCAGTGTGTTAAAAAAAATCTTTTTTTTTTTTTTTTTTTAGTTTGAGTATCAGATAAGTAAAAGTATCACAGTTCATGTCTACTAATTAGTAAAATACATAAAAATGAATAAAAGTTCTTTTGAACAAGTCTTGAAAAATATACAGTGTTAGAAAAAAAATGTGTAGAGATATTAATTTTTAAAAATTCAAGGGTCTTTGCAAATAAGGTGACATTGAAAATGATTTTCATACAGTGAAATCAATGAACTTGAGATATACTAAATCTGTGTTGCAGTGGTATAGTATTGTAATTATATATCTAATGGTCTTCGATACCAGCATTCTTTCTATTAAGAGATTAAGATTAAGATGTTTATTTTGACAATTTACATGGTTGTACAGAGGAATATAATAGTTGGTTGTACATACCAAAAGCCCCTTTGTATGTAGAGCATTTTGGACAAGCTTAAAGATTAACTTATGATTAGGAAGGCAATAATATACAGTTCATATGGTCATTAGATGAGTTTACAGTGAGTTCAGGAGAACTGAATATTCAGTCAGGTAATGCTTCATTGTTTTGATAAGTCTAGTAGAGACTTATTGCACCTATTGAATTAGTTAATAAAGATTATAGTATTACAGTGTAACAATTTAAAAACAATTTACAATATGATATATTACAGTTTAGTACTATTTAAAACAATGAAATTTGGTATTACAATGGAACAATTTACATTATGATGTACTGTATTACAATCTAGAACTATTTTAAACAATGAAAAACAGACATCGTAATTTGGAAGTAGTAAGTTGTTGAGCATTCATCAGCACAATATGAGTAGCTTTTGAGAAACTGATATAAAGTTAAGGAACAAACTTCTAAAAGTCTGTGCATCTAAAAACTTCATCTCAGGAAAGAAGACTAGCTTTAACCTTGTAAATCAACTGTCTTTCATCCTTATGGGTAATCACTTTACTCTTTTCTTTCTCTGAAATTATATACGTACTGTAGTTGCAAAAGTTAAATTACATCTAAGAATAGTTATGGTTATTTCTTAATACTGTACCTGTAACTCATTTGTGTGTTTTCACAGGTCCAATGTGGTATCTGAGTGAGCGTCTGCTGTGGCTCGGAGAAGACGGAGATGTAGTTGTCTCGGATACCAACCTCAACAACTCTGCCGCTATTCACACTTCGAATTTAGGAGTTTTCCCCATTTCATCGTGGTACTTCCAGACCTACAGCCTGTTCCAGGTAATCTTTTCAAGGCCTGAACCTTCAAGGGATTTTTAAAATGACATTGCCTGACAGTTATTTTTCTGTGATTCGTAATTTATAAAGAGTTAGGTTTACAATATGAACAATAATTGAGATACGGGCTTTTTTATGTACTTTATAGCAGTTTTTTAATTACATTGTGGTACTGTATATATTCTTATATCATATGTACTACTACTACTTGTGTTGTACAGTTTTTGATAGATTTCATTCTACTTGAGCTTCATTGATGATGATGTTGTATTTCAACTGTTTTCAGATGGTGTTGAAAGACCAGTTGTAACTCCAGGTCTGATTGATGCAAATTCACTTCTAGTGAAAGGAACCTGGACAATTTTTTCTCTCGAATGGAATCCCATCACTAATGTTAATTATGGTACCCTTATGTATGAAGTCATCATTGACAATGGCAACAACAAAAAAGCATTTCTCACGAATGAAACTATCATTCCCTACGAAGATGTACTGCCCCGTATTCTTCTCTCAAGGTATCAGTAAGAGGCATTACAGACTGGAGTGCAGGTACCCAGCTTTTGAAAAACCTTCATACACCAGCACACTTACCCGAAGCGCCTCAAGACCTGCGGACATTTGTACATAAAGTTCAGGTATGTACTGTACTTCATTAACCCGTAAATGGTCCAAGCAGATCTACGTTCACATGCGTAGTGCTCCAAAAGTAGATCTACGCTTTTTTTTACATCTTTTCAAATATAAAAAAAACATAGATCAAAGTTTTCTTACACATTTTCAAATGTAAAAAAAAAAAAATTACTTTTTTAAAATACTATTAATTGTTGAAAAAACGTATATATACGTTTGGACCGTTTACGGGTTAATGAGAGTAAAATATATAATACAGTAATACATGAAGATCATGCATTGTCAGTTGTATATTAATAACTAGAAGCAGTATGATGATTGAAAAGTAGAACTTTTCATGGATAATAAAGTTGTCTCATGCTGCTTGACAGGATTCAGTTGCGAAGATCTACCTACGTTGGTCTCCCTCCAGAAAACCAAATGGCGAAATAATTAATTACAAGATACTTTACTGCACTGCAGAAGTTGAAGAGAAATGCAAAAGTGAAATTGTGAATGGCAAGGTGTTCCAGTTAACAATTGAAAATCTGAGTTCTGACCATTTATATAGGTTCAAGGTAAGAGGAGAATGAATGAGTTTATATTATCTGTACTGGTTCCTTAAGAACTCAGATAATACATATATATTTATGAAGTTGCTGTCCACAGTGAAGCAGTAAATGAATACATATCTTACTGTCTGCAAGCACAGAAAATTGCTGCATTAACTTCTAAATAATTTTTTGTTTTTTCAACAAGTAGGTCGTCTCCCACCGAGGCAGGGTGACCCAAAAAAGAAAGAAAATCCCTGAAAAGAAAATACTTTCATCATCATTCAACACTTTCACCACACTCACACATTATCACTGCTTTTGCAGAGGTGTTCAGAATACAACAGTTTAGAAGCATATACATATAAAGATACACAATATATCCTCCAAACTGCCAAAATCCAAACCTCCTCCTTTAAAGTGCAGGCATTGTACTTCCCATTTCAGGACTCAAGTCCGACTATATGAAAATAACCGGTTTCCCTGAATCCCTTCACTAAATATACCCTGCTCCACACTCCAACAGATCGTCAGGTCCCAAGTATCATTCGTCTCCATTCACTCCTATCTAACACGCTCATGCACGCTTGCTGGAAGTCCAAGCCCCTTGCCCACAAAACCTCCTTTACCCCCTCTTTCCAACCCTTTCGAGGACGACCCTACCCCTCCTTCCTTCCCCTATAGATTTATATGCTTTGCATGTCATTCTACTTTGATCCATTCTCTCTAAATGACCAAACCACCTCAACAACCCCTCTTCTGCCCTCTGACTAATGCTTTTATTAACTCCACACCTTCTCCTAATTTCCACACTCCGATTTTTCTGCATAATATTTACACCACACCCTTGCCCTTAGACAGGACATCTCCACTGCCTCCAACCGTCTCCTTGCTGCTGCATTTACCACCCAAGCTTCACATCCAATAAGAGTGTTGGTACTACTATACTTTCATACATTCCCTTCTTTGCCTCCATAGATAACGTTTTTTGACTCCACATATACCTCAACGCACCACTCACCTTTTTTCCCTCATCAATTCTATGATTAACCTCATCCTTCATAAACCCATCCGCCGACACGTCAACTCCCAAGTATCTGAAAACATTCACTTCTTCCATACTCCTCCTCCCCAATTTGATATCCAATTTTCTTTATCTAAATCATTTGATACCCTCATCACCTTACTCTTTTCTATGTTCACTTTCAACTTTCTACCTTTACACACATTCTCAAACTCATCCACTAACCTTTGCAATTTTTCTTTAGAATCTCCCATAAGCAAAATAATTATAAAAAAAAAAATCAGTCAACTAAATACTAGGCATTCATCTACAGCATTATACTGAATATAAATCATCTGATTAGATTTGAATTATTTTTTGAGTTATATAATAGATTCAGCTTGATACAGTAATTGAGTTTTAACATTATTCTAGGTCATCATTATAATTTTGTGGGTGTAACTTTATAGAACATCATACTTTTAGGTTGCTGCAATCAATGAGATGGGAAAAGGGCCTTATAGTTTTGGAGTAACAGAATCTCTCCAGCAGCACAAGCCAACTCCATCTCTCCTCGTGGTCAGTGACAAGTCTCTTATTAAGCTTGATGCAGACCTTCAAGAGGAGGTGGAGGTATTAAGTGAGAATTCCAGAGTACAGTGGGCAACACCTTTACTAAAGAATTCCTCCTTTGCATGGATGGATATGAATTCAGATATATATTTAACTGACATGAAGACAAACTCTACTGAGAGGGTATGTAGAATATGGTACAATATTAAAACTTAATTTGTTTTTTACTTAGATGTATAAAGTTACCATTTCTGTTTTTAGTCATTGCAAATTTTTATGTTAGTCATATGATGAAAGGCTTTCAGATATATGTACGTATATGTATATAGTATTGATTAGAATGCATTATGAGGTAAGACTGTAATAACTTGACAGTATATATTAAGTGCTTTATTAAGCATTCCTAATAGTTGCAGATCAAATTAAAATATCATTTCTGATAATCAGTGTATTTTATTTCATTTTTAGCTTTTGCGGCTTAATGATCAAGGTGTTGGGTTGGCAGTAGACTGGATTGGTGAAGTGATTCTCTGGGCTGAAAGAGAGTCAGTGGCATCAAATGAAGTCAAGATTAAGACTTTCAATACTGACCAGAAAACTGAGACATTGGTTACATTATTAAACATAACAGCAACATCAAGAAATTCTTACTGTCTCCAATGACCAGGTTAGATGTTTTACTTCCTTGTGTTATTTCAGAAGGCTGTAATTAATTTCAATTTTTTATTCAGGGGGAAACACTGAAACCCTATGGTTATTTATTTTAGGATCTTGTATGTCATGTTCTTAAGTCATTTTCTTAGATTTATCTTTCCTTCAGTCAATAATTTTGGTTATAGATTATATTACTTTTAGAAGTGGGATAGGAATTTCTTGTAAAATTAATAACATTCAAAAATTTATTTCCATAGTTAGTTTAGTGTAATAGGTTTATTATAGAAGAATTTTCACATTTAATCAAATGGAGTAATGAAGTAAATTAGAGGTTAACAAAGTGAATTTTTATTGGACATTGTCTAATACATATAATGTGTCAGAATCGCAAAGTTTAACTTTCCTACATTGGGTTTTAATTCTTCCTAATGATGTAGATAGTGTAGTGTTTAGAAATACCAGTTTCACTTTACATGTTTAATGTATTCATTTTAGAGTTTTCCATTTCATAATTAAGTACACTGGACTGATGTAGACTTACTGAACCAATTATTACTTAATATTATTTTATAATTTTTATTTTCAGTCAGGTGTTCCTGCTACATGATGGTCATAAAGATCTCCAGCTACTAAGTATGAGGCTCTCAGTTAACACACTACAGAATGTTTTCAGTGAAGAGAGGTGAGTGGCTTCAATTTTCTTTTAGATGTGTGTGAGATTGTCAGATCAGTCCCTCAGTATTCCTTATATAATTTGAAACTACAATGTGATTTGTGCAAGAATGAGACCTTTAAAGTCCTGTGTCAGAAATTAAAGTTCAGAGGATTTTTACATTCAAAACTTAGCCAGAATAGTGGTGATCTTACTTGTGAGATACTGGATCAATCTCCATTACTTCTTATACAACACTGTAGGGAATTTTTTGCTGTAAGTAAAGTTAATAATACTGATTCCACTTTACATGAAATATTTGGACAGCTTTTAAACATTTGTGAATGATTTGTCCTTAAATTTTTAGATTATTTTTTTAATTTAGTATGTAATGGTAAAGTTTGTGAGAATTGTTGTGTTAAAGTTTATATTTGGTTAAATCTAAATCTTTATTGTGTAGCCTCCCAGAGATATTTATAGCGTACTAAAGTTAGGTTGTAGTAACATTTATTCCTTTTAATGATTGTTCCTGTAGTCCTCAATCTATCTTAATAAGTGAGCCAATTTAGTTTTGTCATGATTTTCATTGCAATCTGTGGAACTTTTTTCAAGAGGAATAGAATGTCTTTCTGTAGGTGTTGTTTTAATGTTATAATATATTAATCAGATTGAGGTGTATAATGGATTACCATAGCTGAATGACAATTTCTTGTCCCCATATTTATCTTTAATTATTTGTACTTTGAATGCCTTTTTTTTTTAAGTTTCTTAATTTTTGCACTGTTATCAATGATTGGTGGGCTATGTTAATTGTTTTTTTTCGATATGCCATCATTATCCTTTATAGTATGATCAGTACAGTACCTTCACGTTATCTAATATGATATGATACTGGTGTTGTATTTAAATAAGAAAATATGATATTGGTGCTGAACATGTAAGATGAGGGTACCATCAATACCCTTTTACTGGTTTCAAGGTACCTCTTTATTCCTTGAAGGAACCAAGGAAGAAACTTGGTCCACACAGTCATCCAGTAAATTGTTGTACAGACTGAGAGTGCTTAGTCTGACAGACTGAGTAATTCTCACATCAGAGCCATCCAGATGACACGACTAATCATCATATGCCCCATACTCATTCATTTTCCCTGAGCCTTCTAAATCTTATTCTAATTTTGTAAGCACTTACGTTTTTGCTCTATTCTCTGATGCAGTATTGGATTTTTTTTAATATACCATATGCAATATTTTTTTTAAATATTTTAAGTACTTAAACATGAGCCTGTTTTTGTACACATTTCAGGAGTTCAGATTGTAACTGCATGACAACTCCCAGACTGGGCGGAGGCATTGCACTGGACACTTTAAATACATCTGATCTCTCTCTATATTTTGTTGCATCTCAGCCACCTCTGGAGCCTCTCAAAACTACAACTGTTTATAAAACTGATCTTTCTGGATGTTTTTGTGAAGCCATTTTTGTGCCCGAAGACTATGGATATGGTAAGACTGCAGTATGAATGTTGATGTTATACATTATTTTGTGTTTCTGTCTCTTAAATTGAGTGTTGTTATTCATAATATACATAAAATTTATGATTATTTTTTATAGAATAAGACATTATTATACTGCTCACAGCTAATTCACAATTTAGAAACAAGATGTTTACCTGGAGTTTACCTGGAGAGAGTTTCGGGGGTCAACGCCCCCGCGGCCCGGTCTGTGACCAGGCCTCCTGGTGGATCAGCGCCTGATCAACCAGGCTGTTGCTGCTGGCTGCACGCAAACCAACGTACGAGCCACAGCCCGGCTGATCAGGAACTGACTTTAGGTGCTTGTCCAGTGCCAGCTTGAAGACTACCAGGGGTCTGTTGGTAATCCCCCTTATGTGTGCTGGGAGGCAGTTGAACAGTCTCGGGCCCCTGACACTTATTGTATGGTCTCTTAACGTGCTAGTGACACCCCTGCTTTTCATTGGGGGGATGTTGCATCGATTGCCAAGTCTTTTGCTTTCGTAGTGAGTGATTTTCGTGTGCAAGTTCGGTACTAGTCCCTCTAGGATTTTCCAGGTGTATATAATCATGTATCTCTCTCTCCTGCGTTCCAGGGAATACAGGTTTAGAAACCTCAAGCGCTCCCAGTAATTGAGGTGTTTTATCTCCGTTATGCGTGCCGTGAAAGTTCTCTGTACATTTTCTAGGTCGGCAATTTCACCTGCCTTGAAAGGTGCTGTTAGAGTGCAGCAATATTCCAGCCTAGATAGAACAAGTGACCTGAAGAGTGTCATCATGGGCTTGGCCTCCCTAGTTTTGAAGGTTCTCATTATCCATCCTGTCATTTTTCTAGCAGATGCGATTGATACAATGTTATGGTCCTTGAAGGTGAGATCCTCCGACATAATCACTCCCAGGTCTTTGACGTTGGTGTTTCGCTCTATTTTGTGGCCAGAATTTGTTTTGTACTCTGATGAAGATTTAATTTCCTCATGTTTACCATATCTGAGTAATTGAAATTTCTCATCGTTGAACTTCATATTGTTTTCTGCAGCCCACTGAAAGATTTGGTTGATGTCCGCCTGGAGCCTTGCAGTGTCTGCAATGGAAGACACTGTCATGCAGATTCGGGTGTCATCTGCAAAGGAAGACACGGTGCTGTGGCTGACATCCTTGTCTATGTCGGATATGAGGATGAGGAACAAGATGGGAGCTAGTACTGTGCCTTGTGGAACAGAGCTTTTCACCGTAGCTGCCTCGGACTTTACTCTGTTGACGACTACTCTCTGTGTTCTGTTAGTGAGGAAATTATAGATCCATCGACCGACTTTTCCTGTTATTCCTTTAGCGCGCATTTTGTGCGCTATTACGCCATGGTCACACTTGTCGAAGGCTTTTGCAAAGTCTGTATATATTACATCTGCATTCTTTTTGTCTTCTAGTGCATTTAGGACCTTGTCGTAGTGATCCAGTAGTTGAGACAGACAGGAGCGACCTGTTCTAAACCCATGTTGCCCTGGGTTGTGTAACTGATGGGTTTCTAGATGGGTGGTGATCTTGCTTCTTAGGACCCTTTCAAAGATTTTTATGATATGGGATGTTAGTGCTATTGGTCTGTAGTTCTTTGCTGTTGCTTTACTGCCCCCTTTGTGGAGTGGGGCTATGTCTGTTGTTTTTAGTAACTGAGGGACGACCCCCGTGTCCATGCTCCCTCTCCATAGGATGGAAAAGGCTCGTGATAGGGGCTTCACGTATTTAGTCTGTCCTGGATCATTGTGTAGTTGCAACTGGTCATTGTCCAGTTTTCATTTCCAATTTCTGTTTACATGAATTGTTTCAATATTGTGACTTGAATTCATAACTTTTCTGCATTTATCCTCAGGTGCCTGTACTGAAATAGCAGTTGATTATGCTTATCTATACTGTTTTATAGCAAGTAATCAGACTCTTCTGTGGCTGCCTAAAAGGGGTATAGAAAAACCTGAAGACTTGCACTCTCAGCCACTGCACAATACAACATCTCTTATTCCAGTTGATCTTGCTATACAACCTATGCCAGGTAAAATATGTTTGGTGTTTTTTAAAGTGGTGTGAATGTGTTGAGGGGCCAAAGTTGTTGCCTCGGAAAGATGATGAGGGAAAACCTGGAAACTTATTGAATATGTATAGACTACACTTACCATACATAACGTATATTCACAGCTGTTTTTGGCATAACTCGTATTTTTATTATTTGTTATTTCAGCAGAAAATTCCTATTATGAAATATGTACTGAATACTACATCTTGAGGTGGTATGGGCATTTAAAGAGGATGGAGCAGAATAGGATGATGCAGTGAGTGCATGAATCAGTGTGTGAGAGGTCATACATTGCCTGGGGAATAGGAGGCATTCAAGCTTGATCCATGGAAATGTAGGGTAGCTCCAGTTCCTTTGATCACAAACCTATCACCAGCATCTTGGTATCTCCCTTGAAGCATCCAATTTAGTATCTCATATCTCACTTAAGTTGATACTTTAATGTGCCTAATGTCACCTTGCCTTGGTGAGAGACAGCCAGTGTATTAAGAAAATATTTTGTGAAGGGCTCCAGGCAGACATCAACCAAATCTTTTAGTGGGCTCCAGAAAACAATATGAAGTTCAACGATGAGAAATTTCAATTACTCAGATATGGTAAACGCGAGGAAATTAAATCTTCATCAGAGTACAAAACAAATTCTGGCCACAAAATAGAGCGAAACACCAACGTCAAAGACCTGGGAGTGATCATGTCAGAGGATCTCACCTTCAAGGACCATAACATTGTATCAATCGCAGCTGCTAGAAAAATGACAGGATGGATAATGAGAACCTTCAAAACTAGGGATCCCAAGCCCATGATGACACTCTTCAGGTCACTTGTTCTATCTAGGCTGGAATATTGCTGCACACTAACAGCACCTTTCAAGGCAGGTGAAATTGCTGACCTAGAAAATGTACAGAGAACCTTCACGGCACGCATAACGGAGATAAAACACCTCAATTACTGGGAGCGCTTGAGGCTCCTGAACCTGTATTCCCTGGAACACAGGCGGGAGAGATACATGATTATACACACCTGGAAAATCCTAGAGGGGCTAGTACCGAACTTGCACACGAAAATCACTCGCTACGAAAGCAAAAGACTTGGCAGACGATGCAACATCCCCCCAATGAAAAGCAGGAGTGTCACTAGCACGTTAAGAGACCATACAATAAGTGTCAGGGGCCCGATACTGTTCAACTTCCTCCCAGCACACATAAGGGGGATTACCAACAGACCCCTTGCAGTCTTCAAGCTGGCACTGGACAAGCACCTAAAGTCGGTAACAGCCTGGTTGAACAGGCTCGGATCCACCAGGAGGTCTGGTCACAGACCGGGCCGCGGGGGCGTTGACCCCCGGAACTCTCTCCAGGTAAACTCTCCAGGGAAACTGGATAGCCGGACTTAAGTCCTGGAGGTGGAAAGTACAGTGCCTGCACTCTGAAGGAGGGGTTTGGGATATTTGCTGTGTAGAGTGACATCTAATCTGTTGTATCTTCACACCTCTGGCAAGACAGTGATAGTGTGAATAATGGTGAAGGCATTTCTTCTTCAGGTCACCCTGCTTTGGTGGGAGAGACATCTAAACTGTCATATCTAAGTGCCTCTGCAAGGACAGTGATTATGTGTGAATGATGGTGAAAGTGTTTCTGTTTATTTGACTCGCCTGCCTCAGCGGGAAACAGCCAACGTGTTGCAAAAAATGTAAAAGAGCTATTATAACATTGAAGAATTTGATTTGCTATTTGTTTTCTGTTCTATCCTTAAAAAGAAAAGCTTTCATTTTTCTTTTAAGGTCGCCCTCCCTCAGTGGAATATGGGAGAGAATTGAAAAATTTAATAAATATATAAATGATTGTTCACTAGTATGCAGAGAATTATTTTAGTAAACTACAGTATAACATTCACTTTAAAACTAGCACTGAGCAAAATACAAGTACATAACACACACAAGTCATAATCTGATGAATGAGATTACCAGAAACACATGGATAATATACATATATAAAAACAGACACACAAAAAAGGGTAAATGTTTAATGCCCTACTGTCATAACAAGATATGAACAATTACAATTTTCTGATTTATGATAAATCTAGGAGAAAATAGTACTGTACTATATGGGTTAATAATCTTAGGCAAAATTAACACATTACAAATGGATGGCCTTTAAATTTGGTAATTTATACAGGAGAAGGGGTTACTATCCCCTTGCTCTCAGCATTTTAGTTGCCGCTTACAGTACGCATGAAGAAGAATTCTCTTCCACTTCCTTATGGAGAATATTAATATTCTTCTTTCAACACACCGGCCATATCCCACCAAGGCGGGGTGGCCCACAAAGAAAAACAAAAGTTTCTCCTTTTACATTTAGTAATATATGCAGGAGAAATGGTTACTAGCCCCTTGCTCCCAGCATTTTAGTCGCCTCTTACGACATGCATGGCTTACAGAGGAAGAATTTCATTGCACTTCCCCATGGAGAATATTAATATTAGGTTCTTAAAATTTAGTTTCTTGTTTCTGACCTTACTGGTAATAAAGAAACCCTGTTTATTCTCACAGATGCAGAATGCTTAGTCACATCCAATTACACAGAAGCTCCCACAAATGCTGGCACAACAGAAACAGTTATTGCCATACAGTTGACAGCTCCAGAAGCTAAGACAGATAACTGCAGATTGATAATTCCACCACCTGTTACCTACATTGGATATTATGCTCCTGTAACACACAATGAGTCAGTCTCCTGCTTCACTGATATAACTCACTGCCAGTATATGGTTAGCTTGAATATTTAACACATCAGTTAATTTCTGATACTGTACTGTAAGTAAAAGTTAATATTTTTTTCCATTTTACATAATAAATTTTTTACAATTGACCACTGAAGATTCAGAGCTGTCAGAATCCAGAAGAAAATTAAGAAAATCTCATAAAAATATAAGTACCAGTATACTAATGAGAGATAAGCAAGCACCTGAAGCTAGTGTGTGAGCTTGTGCTCCTTTGTTTTGCCCTGTACTAAATTTCCTAAGGGTGGCTCTCTGGCTGGAAGAGTGTATTATTGCTTTTTATTTGGGAGGCTGAGGAATTTTGGAGTGTTTGAGCCCCGTGAACCTCCCATTGGGGTTGACCCCAACCTTGAAAAACCTAGTGTCACCTCACCTTGAAATACCAAACATTTTGAGTTCCAAGTGATGGGAAAATCAATGGAAGTCTCTCTTTAATAATGTGTCCCCAACAAATTCATGACTAATAGATACAACACCAGTTCTGTAGCATTTATCATTTAATTTAATTCTTGTTTACATTTACCTAAAATGGTATTGATAATTAAGAATATTTTCAGTCATTGTAAACATTTTAAATTGTGAATTTAAATTGAGTCAATTAGCATGTATAACATGGAAAGTTAAGTTTATCTCTTCATTTTTGTTTATTCAGAGACTTGAATTTTTGGTGTTCAAGTATTGTTTTTTAAACATTCACCTGGGATTTTTAAGATGATGATGATCATTATTATTATTATATTCTTAGATGAACATTGCACACTGGAAATCTCTGTTTTCATTATACTGAATAGCATCCATATTTAACAAGTGCAAGATTACCTTAAATGAATAATTCATATTTCAGAAGAGTATGAGAAATGTCATAAGAGTAACTGGACTGCAGCCATACACTCAGTATGTGTTTCGTGGTGCCATAGAGACAATCTATAACAAAAGAATGGGAATCAAATCTGTAGCAGGTCCTGCTGCCATATTTAAAACAAAGACCAAAGGTATGTTTTATTTATGAAGATTTTAACTTTTGCACTGTGTAATATATACTAAAGATATATACTAAAGGAAAGGCTTGGGATATTGGCTGTTTGGAGTGACATTTAAACTGTCATATCTGGGTGCCTCTGCAAAGACAATGATTGTGTGTGAGTGAAGGTGAAAGTGTTTCTTGTTTGGATCACCCTGCCTCAGTGAGAGATGGCTGATGTTTACCTGAATGTGTTGATAAAAAATAAGCTTTATACAGTGGATTACTTTATTCCTGAGAGAGCATTTGTTAAATTTCTTTGTATATAGTATGTCTGTTGGCCATTGATATAAAAATCACTTGTGAGGTCAGAACCAGTGGCATCGTGAGAGGGGGAAGGGGGGGCGGGCCGCCCTGGGTGACACCATAGAGCCTCTAAAGAAGGTAATATTAATGCCCAAAACAGTGCTACAGCAACATAATAGAAGAATCCTTCATTTCTATATATGTAGCCTCTTATGTGATTTTTTTTTCAACAAGTCGGCCATCTCCCACCAAGGCAGGGTAACCCAAAAAGAAAGAAAATCCCCAAAAAGAAAATACTTTAATCATCATTCATTCGCTGCCTGACCACGGTAGTGTGCGGTAGTGCTCTGCACCCCTCTGCTGTGTGTAGGCGAGCGCCCTTGTCAGTTACCTGGCTGCAGTGGTGTGAAGTGGTGCTGTCACACCTCGGCTAACAACTTAGGTGCACTGTGATCGTCAAGATGGCGGTTAGTCTGAGATGAAGGATAAATACTGTAGGCATCGAGCTACTTAAAGGAACGATAACGACCAGTTCTGCGCAAGTCTTATTGCCAAAGATCATACGGGAGACTTATGGAGTACAAGATAGTGACTTGTATGGTGTAGCATTGAACGGAGGACAACGAATTTTCGTCAAACTGCTATCAGCAACGGTTTATGAATCGTTAATCACCAGGTTTCAGGACGTGAGTCTTAACGTCACACCAGCTGTCACTGTAAGAATGATAGATGTTTCACGGTATTATACGTGGATCAAGTTACGCAACGTTCCCTTTGAGGCGGACGAGGCAGATATAAGGAAAGTTTTTGAGAAGTATGGGACGGTGCATTATGCTCAACATGGTACGTGGGCGGCAGGAGCCTATGCTGGTTTTCCAGAGGGTTCTTTCAACCTCAAAATGACTTTGAGGCACCAAATACCATCCTATGTGTACCTACAAGATTTCAGGACGCAGGTAATGGTAATGTACCCAGGACAACGACGTACATGCCGCCTATGTGGTGAGTATGATCACATAGCGGCGACCTGTGACAAGCGAAGACATGTGCCTGGACCTGTGGTGGACGACGCAGCCCCTGCTTCAAAGGTGGCAGGTGAGGAACAAACATCGGATGGAGGGCGTGGTGTTTTGTTGGAGCGAGATAGTGGATCGGGCACACAGGACTGGTGGTGAGTTGGAGTCCCGCCCCCAACTGCCTGATCAGGTGTCGTCTCCTGTGGATAAGGAGGAGCAGCAAGTACAAGAGAAGATTCTTGAGATTGAGGAGGAATTGGTGGAGGTGTTGAAGACGTTGTCACCACCAGAGAGGGACGTTACATCTGAGCGTGGTGTCATTGGAGAATCGTCGCTTCCAGAAAGTCTGAGACATGATAATTTGGGACGTGATGGTGGTTTGGAGTCGTCCATTGACTCATTAAACCATTCTCAGGTGGAGGTGGAGGTTCATCGAGAGGTAACATCTGACCAAGATATGTGTAACATGACTGTCACGAGAAAGAGGGCGGCTACATCAGATTCTGATGACGTCCTTACGCCTGCACAAAGGCCTGGGAAACAGACTGAGGTGAAGTGTGCAGGTAGTGGTGTAGGTGGTGGTAGCCATGATAGGAGGCACCGGAAGAAGGGGGGAGGGAAAGAGAGCACTCTGAAGGTGTCAAACGTAAATTCAAGCTCTGGAGTTGTAAAGAGTGATGAGAGGAAGCAGGGGTGGAAACTTTAATAGGCCTTAGGTGTATGTCTGTAAATGTTAATGGGTTATGTAGCGGTATGAAGAGAGATTGGTTTCGTAATTTTCTGAATAAATCTAGAGTGGATGTTGTGTTCCTGCAGGAGCACAATTTCAAAGAGGGTAGGGTGTTGGAGGTGGCAGGATTTCGAGTAGTTACCCTGCCATCTCCCCGTCTAAAAGGTGGTGTGGGAATTTTAATAAGGGAGACGAGCCCGTTTGTTTTGCAGAGAAGCGAGGGAGGAGGGGGAGGGAGGGTGTTGCGTGTGGATGGGTGGTGGATGGGTAAGCGTGTGTCTTTTGTGAGTGTGTATGCGCCGGCAGAAAATAACATAAAGGTAAAGAATGATTTTGTGTGTGAGGATCTTGTGTTTTTCTTAAGTGCACTGCCAGAGGTGGCGATAGTTGGTGGGGACTGGAATAGTGTAATCAGGGTGGCTGATGTGGACCCAAGAGGGGCTGGATATATGTCTGTGGCTCTTAGGGATTTATTAAGGGATGTTAGGTTACGTGATGCCTTTGGGGGAGCGGTGTGGGAGACTGAATATACGTTTGTTAGGAGTGGATATGCTGCGAGACTAGATAGAGTGTACCTTTCTCAGGGTGTGGACGTGAAATCTTTCAGTACTGTTGAGGCTACAATGTCAGATCATAGGGCAGTGGTGGTGGAGGTTGGGTGGGGGACGCTCGTGGAAATATATAGAAGTTATTGGAAATTAAATATAAGTGTGTTAGGTGATGAGGAGGGGTTGGAGGGGTTTTCAGTCCTATGGAGGGAGCTTAGTGTGGAAGAACAGGGAGTGGATGACATTGTGACATGGTGGGATAGTGTCGCAAAGGAAAGGATTAGAAAGTTTTATGTGAGAGAAGGAAAACGTATTAATAATTTAAAATATGGACTGGCTAACTATTTAGAGGATAGGTTAAGAGGTTGCTATGGGAGGGGGGTGGGTGGGAATAATTTTCCTATGGATGAAATAGCTGAAATAAAGGGGAGGTTGAGGATGTTGCAAAATGAAAGGTTTCAAGCTGTAAGGATGCAGGCAGGGGTGGAGGAAGTGCTTTGGGGCGACAAGCCGTCAGCATGTGTTTTGCGGCAACAAAAGCAAAGGCAGGCGCTGACAGCTATACCATGTTTAGAGGTAACGGAGATGGTTGGGAATTATAGAGTAGGGCAGGAGATACGAACCACGAAGGGGATGTGTGCATATGCAGAGGCTTGGTACGAGAAGTACTGGAACAGTGGGGGGGTGGGTGACGGGGCATTGGACAAGGTGTGTATGTATGTGACATGTAATTTAGGAAATAGTGATCGAAAGGCTTTAGGTGGGACGATTACGGCAGAGGAAATAGAGAATGCGTTAAGGGGAATGAGGAAGGGGAAAGCTCCCGGTATTGATGGTCTCCCGGTAGAATTTTATTTACAACATTGGGCGTTGATAAAGGAATTTATAGTTAGGTTATTTAATAGTATGAAGGAGAAGGGTAAGTTGGGGGAGAAGCAGGAAACTGCAGTTGTAGTGTTGGTCCCGAAGGTCAAGGGGCAGCCCACCCTTCGGGAGTACCGAGCCATATCACTGATGTGTGCAGACTATAAGGTGTTTGCAAAAATTTTAGGTAATAGGTTCAAATGTGTAGTGGAGAGGGTGGTGTCAAAATCTCAGTTCGGGTTGCCGGGAAGGTCGATGATTGAAGGACATGGGATACTGAGAAGTTTTGTGGAAGATAAGGGTGGGGGTGGAGGGGCAGCTTTGTTGGCTCTAGACTGGCAGGGAGCATATGATAGAGTGGAAAGGGGAGCTTTGCAGGTTATACTTAGGAGACAGGGTTTTGGGGAGGAAATAGTCGAGTGGGTAAATACGTTGTACAAGGGGGCGAAAATGAGGATACAGATTAATGGGTGTATGGGGAGGGAAATTGCAATGGGAAGAGGCCTTAGACGGGGACGCCCCATGTCCCAAATATTGTTTGCATGTTTCCAGGACCCCTTTTATAGAATGGTTGACCGTAGCTTATGTACGCCATGTGAGGGAAGTGTGGGGGGTGGGAGGGCCTGGCCGGGGTTAATTGGATATGTTGACGACACCACTGTTCTCATTCGTGCAGGGATGTCAATGGGAGTGTTGGACGAGGTGGTGCAATTATTTGGAAGTGCCACGGGTATGCAGGTAAATAGTGCGAAGTCAAGGTGCATGGGGTTGGGTTCTTGGGTGGGGGGTGTGGGGGGGAGATGTAATGTTGTTAAAGAATGGGCGGTGTCTTTAAAGATTTGTGGTATTATTTATAGGGATGACATGGTTGCGGCGCAGGAGGAAAAATTCAGATAGGTTATTGGAAAGGATCATGGGGCGGCTAGGTGTTCTGAGACCCCAGCACCTAACTCTGATACAGCGAGTGATAGTCGTGAACATTCTATTGTATAGTAAGGTTTGGTATGTTGCAGCTGTGTTCCCAATTACAGGGACAGCAATTGCGGGGATACTAAGACGGGTGTACAAATTTTTATGGGGTTCACGTTGTGATTGGTTAAGGAGGGAGGTTGTAATGTTACCTGTAAGTCAGGGTGGGTTGGGGTTGTTGGATTTGTGACGGAGGGCTAAATGTGTGTTTATTAAATGGGAAGTGTTGCGTGAGGGTGTGAACGCGGGGCGTTTGGGAAGGATACACGACAGGCTGGGTATGTGGTATCGAGGAATGGAGTTGAGGGAATGTGAAATAGTTTTGAGGGCTGTGATGTTGGTTAGGGAACTGAGAAAGGTTCGTATAAGGGTTTTGTGTAGGTTACTTGTAGGTAGGTGCGTTGTCCCAGTTGAGGGTTTGTTCCCCATGTATGCGTGGAAGAGTATTTGGTTTAGATTTAGTAAATTGAAGTTAAAACCTCGGGCGCGTGAGGTGATGTTTCGTTTTCTGCATGGGATCCTTCCGTCTGGTGAGATATTACGAAACAGACAGGTTGTAGAGGGTGGGGGGTGTGGTATCTGTGGAGGGGATGAGACTGCGTTCCATGTAGTTTACTTTTGTGAAGGGCTAGAGGAGGTCAGGTGCTGGTTAAGTAGGTTGGTACAGAGGGTGGGGGACCGTGGGGTGTCAGTTTTGCGTGCTCTAAGTCTAGATATGGGTGGGTTAGATGAGGGTGTCATAAGAGCTTTAGATTATATCATGGTAGATTATATATATATGTCGTGGGTGATGAGGGGGAGAGGGGATAGTGAGGAGAGAAGAAAGGTTCTTGCGGTAACGTTCTACCGTACGAGGTGTCGTAACAGAGATTTGTATGGGAGGAGGTGGGATCAGGCTTTCTCAGAGGGGTATAGAATGCTAACGTTAGGGATTCTCATAAATCTGTGATTGGAAATGAGTGAGTGAAGGGGTTTTCATAGGTTGGAGGGAGTCAGGGGGCAACAGCGGGCTCGCCTCCCTGGGGGGGGGGGTCGTGAGAGTGTTGTGAATGTGGGTTTGGAATGGTTTCCTGGTTTTCATTGGGACTTTATGGCATCCAAGTGTGGATGTAGAGATCAAGGTCTCGTTATGGTAGATATAACACTTTTCAGAATGTAGGTATAATATAGTAGATTTTTTATGTATAATTATGATGTGTATCAGTCTTGTAATAACATGATTCTTGAGAAATAAGTTCTTTGTGACATGAAGTGTGTTTTAGTTTGTATTTATGTTACGTGCTGGGTTTTTGCACGATGAGATATACTTATATACTGTTTGGCATTGTGCATACAGTGCATCTGATTAATGTGATTTTGTTGCAAATTTTTGTGTATGTGTGGGTGTGTGTGTGGATGTGGGTGTGGGTGTGTATGTGTATATATATAAATATCCCTTTCTATTGTATTGAGCCTTTGTCATGGGTCAGACGTTATGTAATAATTTATATATGCATGATTGATTCTTTTTAAAGTTTATAATTATGGTCTGTACCCTGATACCGGTTTGGTGTTCATGAAAGTTCTTGATGTTAAGTTTTAGTCTGTATGGTATACAGACATATCTAGACAGTTTAGTGACGTAGTCCATTTGTGTCTGAAATTTGTATATGGGTTTATTGTAACAGTATAGAGCTTCAGTTATTGTGTTCTAAGCTGTATTCTTTGTCTGTTTATTTGTATGTTGGGATATGTTCGGCTGTATTGTTAGGGATAAGTATGTAGATTTTCTAGTTAGATTATGATGTTAGGTTTTGGTTTTTAGATTAATGTGAAGGATGGGATTTAACTGATATAACTTCTTTGTATATTTTATGTTCAAGTGTATTGAACCTTTGTCAGATGTCATTTATATGTACAATTTATATATATGCAAGGTTTTGTATGTCAATTCATGAACCTGTGACATGTAATTTTGTTTTTAGTTATGTTCTTGATGTAAGTTGTTGTTGTAACATCTTGCGAGCATGTAGGTACAATCCGTTTGTCAGTTAATTTGATTAGGTTCCATACTGTTTCTTTATTTTTATGTTAAACTGTATTGGTTTTAAATAAAATATAAAAAAAAATCATCATTCAACACTTTCACCTCACTCATACATAATCACTGGCTTTGCAGAGGTGCTCAGATACAACAGTTTAGAAGTCCCTCCAAACTGTCGATATCCCAAACCTCTCCTAAAATGTAGACAGTAAACCTACTTGGTAATTCTCATAATCCCTTGGAGCAAGTTGTTGTGGGCCTAGTTCCCTAAGTCCCCACCAGAGGGCAGGTCCTCAAATTAGACATACCTGGCCATGCCTCTTTCTCTCTTGACAACTGGCGACCTACCTGTGAACAGCTTCCCTCCTGGACTGGCTTTGGCTTAAAGTGCAGGCATTGTACTTCCCACTTCCAGGTCTTGAATCCAGCTAATCAGTTTCCCTGAATTCCCTCACGAAATATTGCCCTGCTCACATTCCAACAGCTTGTCAGGTCCCAAAAACCATTTGCCTCCACTCACTCCTAGCAAACATGCTCGTATATTTTTTTATTAACACACTCGCTGTTTCTTACTGAGGCAGGGTAACCCAAAAAAGAAAACTTTCGCCATCATTCACACTATCACTCTCTTGCCAGAGGCACACAGATACGACAGTTTAGATACCACTCTAAACAATAAATATCCCAAATCCCTCCTGTAGTGTGCAAGCACATATATTTACAAGAAACTTAAAATTCAAGTATATTTTTATGCACAAATCAAAATATTATTTGTTTTCTTTTTATTTTCCTTCCAATATTTATTTTTATTTTATTATTCTGATATGCAGATTATATTTTAAATGTTTAACTTGCAGCACCAGAGGGTGTAGACAAAGTAACAGCTGAAGCACTGTCTCCAGAAGAAATTAAAGTGACTTTTAACGTCAGTGAAGGACAGATGTGCGAAGTTTATTGGCAAAGAGCAGACACCAACCTTGGCCCCATTCATCCCACAGTTAACAGCATGCAGGAAATATCAGTCAGAATTAACAGACTGCTTCCTAACACTAAATATGAGGTCCTACACTTCTTTTTATTTTCCATTGAGTAATCCATTATTTGTTCTTAATGAAAGTTTAGTACAGTTTTCTGTACTCAGTCTTAAGATTATGAAAAAAATAGGAAATAGTAAGAATTTATTATGAGTGTAGCAGTAAAGTTTTATGATTAAAACTCTCAATGCACATGTCTTTTAATATTTATTAGTTTAAGTATTTTATTACAGTATATTCAATTTAGAACATAAAACTATGAAAATTAAGGGTATTAGAATCTTCTTTAAAACTATTTCTTGAATGTATTTTTGCTTTATATACCTATGGCACTATATATTGAATTAAAATTTAATATTTTAATACAGTATAAACTAGAAGTGTTTATATACTTAAAATTCATCCATTGCATTGTGTATTCTTGCAACTTAGGTCTGGGTAAGAGTCTATTCCCAAGATAGACTTGTGCATACAAAAGTCCACGAGTGACTGTCATCACCCTTCCTGAACTACCACACATCAGATTGAAAAATGCAACCGCACGCACACTTTTCATTAACTGGAAGGCACCATCAGACAGATCTGTTTTGCGACATGCTGTAAGCACATTGCCAATTACTAAATTTTTGAAGTATGATGATAAACCTTTCAGCTTATTTTATTAACTGGATTTCAGCTTCATTCTGTAATGTACATTTCTTTCAGTGATAGAATAAAATGCTTCAGAGAGAAGTTTATTTTGTGGAGCACTTAAGTCTCATTTTTATTTAAATATAAAATTAATACCCCTGAATTCACTTCTATGAGCACGCATACATTGTCTTTGGCGTGTCCTTTTTAGATAATGGGACAGTATGCTATATATCTTTTGACCATTCTTCTGTATATATTGTCACTTTAACATACGTAGCTAGCAATGTAACTTTTTAATTTTATTCAATCACTCATCACTGACTTTCTCTGCCATCACGTTAGGAGTGCTAACTCAAGTTATTTCACATACATTACACTTAATAAATACTAATCATTCTCATTATTTTTATATCAGTTTCAGTATACAGCCTTTGGTGACAGTATCTGGGAAAATCTCACCATGGAGCAAACAACTGCTGGACAAACCTATTTTGCCAACATCATTCATCTGGCACCTGCCACCTCATACATATTTAGAGTTCAGGTTATATACAATAATACTTACTACAGTTATACTTGGCCTGAACAACCTCTCTTTAATTTTTCCACATTGGGTGAGTTCTTTCATTGGCACTATATTTTTGTTTACTTTTGTGAATATAATAACAATTGCTCCATATATACATATTTATTGCAGAAATTCATTTTGATTTTGATAAAATTTAATCAGTTCATGCACACTTATGAAAGTTTGTTGTCTGATGAATGTTTCAAATTAATAAGATTTTTCAAAGTTAAAAATTAGTTAACCAGAAGTAAGTTAACAATAAGTATTTGGTGTGTAGCTGAGATTCCAGGTGAACCAGGACAAGTGATGCGGCAGCAGGTGGGCAGGGTCTTGCCTGGCAGGTGGCTTGAGGCTCTGGTGGAGTGAGGCAAAACCAAATGGTGCTCCAGTTATTGCATATACCCTGCAAGCTTCCCTCTATAATTCCAATGACTTTGACAACAATATTACCTATGCTACCATATATAATGGATCGGGTAAAGTGCACGAGTTATTTTTGTATAAATTTTCTATAATCCTACTGTATTAGAATTTGGCATTTTAAGTAGATGATCTTACATGTGTATTAATTTATGTTACTGCTCTGTGGAGTTGTATATTAATTTATAAAATCCATAGGACAGTAATTAATAGATACTAATTTTTTACAGATAATTATTGGCTTATCAAAGGATTAGAAGCAGAATCCAGTTACATCTTTCGAGTCCGTGCCATAAATGAACTTGGAGCTGGCCCTTGGGGAGAAGTCAATGTGATTGACACAGTAGTTGGGGCAACCATGCTGACACAGACTGATCTCCCTACAATTCTTGCATCAAACTATACCAACATCTCTGATTTTTTTTGGAGTGTTTTTTACAAGTCTTATATATGGTAAATACAGTATAGTGTACTGTTATTAATTTTTTTTTCACAACAGTTGTCTCCCACCAAGGTACGGTGACTGTCAGTCATTCAAGACTGTCTTACCAGAAGCATGCTTAAGTCACAATTCAGATTACCCTCCAAATGAAGCATCCCCACCCCTTCTGAGTGCAGACACTGCCTCTCCCACCTCCAGGACTCAAGTCCAACTAACCAGTTTCTCTGAATCCCTTCATCAGAGTTACCTTGCTCACACTCCAACAGCACATCTATGAAAAACCACTTGTCTCTATTCACTTCCGTTTAAAATGCTCTCACAAGTCTGCTGAATGCTGAAGCCCCTAAAGCTCATAGCCTCTCATACCCCTCCCCTCCCCCAGATTTATTAACCTCTTAGTCAACCTATCCCTCTCCAACCTCTACATGACCAAACCACTTCACCAACCCCTCCTCAGCCTAGTAAAGTTTTTAAGTGATGCTCAATTTTTCAACTTTGTATAGTAGTACAGTGGACCCTCAGTTAATGCCTTTAATCCGTTCCAGAGAGCTAGGCTTTAATCGATTTAGCCTTTAACCGAATTAATTTTCCCCATAAGAAAAAATGGAAATCCAATTAATCCGTTCCAGACACCCAAAAGTATTAAACAAAATAATTATTTTACATGAAATATACATTTCCCTACACAGAAAACAATGATACATGAAGAATAAAACAATAATAACGTCACACGTACCTTTATTGTGGACTTGTTGATGAGTGATGAAATGGGAGAAGAGCAGAGGATGAAGATGTTCTATTGTTTGGAAGGGGAATCTCCTTCCATAAGGACTTCAGGTAATAAGTCCTTTTCTGGCTTGTGTCCTGGGAGTATCTTTTCCTCTTGAGTAATGTAGGTCCTGTTTGGCATTTTCTTCCTAAACAATCCTTTTTCGTCACAATTGAACACTTGGGGTTTTAATTTTTCAGCCTCTCTGTACCCCTTAAAGTCCTGCACATATTTTTCAGCCGCTTTTTTGTCAGAACTGGCAGCCTCTCCATGCCTTATCAAACCATACCACCATCACAACCACTACCACCCTCTACCACCATCACAATTGCTACCATCCTCTACCATCATCACAGCAACCCTCTACCATCATCACTACCACCCTCTACCACCATCACAATCGCTACCAAACTCTACCACCATCACAGTTGCTACCACCCTCTACCACCACCACTACCACCATCATAACCACTACCACCCTCTTCCACCACCCCCTTTTGTATTTTTCTACAAACTTTTTCTTAAATTATATGTGTTTCTCACATTCTTAACCATAGGGCTGGCACTAGAAGCTGTCTTGGGGCCCTTGGTGGCTTATTTAGCAGTTACAAGCACAAACAATGGAATATACAAAAGTTCGCATGTAGCCGGAATCATCTTCACTGGCTTGTCAAATAATGGCACACTGGGGCTGTAACGTACACAGAGTGAGTGGCCGGCCCCGCAAGGGCGCTTGCCCAACAACGTTTCAGACAAGCTCTAATCGAGTTTTAGTGTTATCCGCCAATTTTTACACCAAAGCGGCGTTATCGATTTCGGGTATCCACTGCAGGTGTTAACTGGGGTCCACTGTTTATTTGTGCCGAGCATTCATGCTCAGTGCATTTATCATTTAGTAATAATTTTGATGCAGAAGTATAATGGACCTATATGTCAAGTGTATATTTAGAACATTTAACAAGTCTTTCTAACCATCCTAACTTTTTTTTTTTTTTTTTTTTGCTAAAAATTATGTGCCAAAGGGCTTCTTATATATATGATACCTGGAGTTTACCTGGAGAGAGTTCCGGGGGTCAACGCCCCCGCCGGCCCGGTCTGAGACCAGGCCTCCTGGTGGATCAGAGCCTGATCAACCAGGCTGTTGCTGCTGGCTGCACGCAAACCAACGTACGAGCCACAGCCCGGCTGATCCGAACTGACTTTAGGTGCTTGTCCAGTGCCAGCTTGAAGACTGCCAGGGGTCTGTTGGTAATCCCCCTTATGTGTGCTGGGAGGCAGTTGAACAGTCTCGGGCCCCTGACACTTATTGTATGGTCTCTTAACGTGCTAGTGACACCCCTGCTTTTCATTGGGGGGATGGTGCATCGTCTGCCAAGTCTTTTGCTTTGTAGTGAGTGATTTTCGTGTGCAAGTTCGGTACTAGTCCCTCTAGGATTTTCCAGGTGTATATAATCATGTATCACTCCCTCCTGCGTTCCAGGGAATACAGGTTTAGGAACCTCAAGCGCTCCCAATAATTGAGGTGTTTTATCTCCGTTATGCGCGCCGTGAAAGTTCTCTGTACGTTTTCTAGGTCGGCAATTTCACCTGCCTTGAAAGGTGCTGTTAGTGTGCAGCAATATTCCAGCCTAGATAGAACAAGTGACCTGAAGAGTGTCATCATGGGCTTGGCCTCCCTAGTTTTGAAGGTTCTCATTATCCATCCTGTCATTTTTCGAGCAGATGCGATTGATACAATGTTATGGTCCTTGAAGGTGAGATCCTCCGACATGATCACTCCCAGGTCTTTGACGTTGGTGTTTCGCTCTATTTTGTGGCCAGAATTTGTTTTGTACTCTGATGAAGATTTAATTTCCTCATGTTTACCATATCTGAGTAATTGAAATTTCTCATCGTTGAACTTCATATTGTTTTCTGCAGCCCACTGAAAGATTTGGTTGATGTCTGCCTGGAGCTTTGCAGTGTCTGCAATGGAAGACACTGTCATGCAGATTCGGGTGTCATCTGCAAAGGAAGACACGGTGCTGTGGCTGACATCCTTGTCTATGTCGGATATAAGGATGAGGAACAAGATGGGAGCGAGTACTGTGCCTTGTGGAACAGAGCTTTTCACCGTAGCTGCCTCGGACTTTACTCTGTTGACGACTACTCTCTGTGTTCTGTTAGTGAGGAAATTATAGATCCATCGACCGACTTTTCCTGTTATTCCTTTAGCACGCATTTTGTGCGCTATTACGCCATGGTCACACTTGTCGAAGGCTTTTGCAAAGTCTGTATATATTACATCTGCATTCTTTTTGTCTTCTAGTGCATTTAGGACCTTGTCGTAGTGGTCCAATAGTTGAGACAGACAGGAGCGACCTGTTCTAAACCCATGTTGCCCTGGGTTGTGTAACTGATGGGTTTCCAGATGCGTGGTGATCTTGCTTCTTAGGACCCTTTCAAAGATTTTTATGATATGGGATGTTAGTGCTATTGGTCTGTAGTTCTTTGCTGTTGCTTTACTGCCCCCTTTGTGGAGTGGGGCTATGTCTGTTGTTTTTAGCAAATCTCTTTCACTAGAACGCTCTGCATCTCTGATCTTCCTTTGTACCTCTATGGCTCACGTATCCCTGACCTGAAACAGTGCAAGATTCTGGGACCTCCCTCTTTTGATCGTAGGTTATCCTGGAAACCTCTACATTACCTCTCTGAAGGCAACTAGTCCACAGCGCTGAACCTTCTTACAACCCTTGCTATCTTTCGTGGGGAGCTGATCGTCGAACCCTCCTTCACTACTTCCACCCTATTTTAATCGAAACTTGATTATGTTGACCAGATCTATTCAGACGGCATCTCCTGCTACTCTCTCTAGCCTAAAACCCCATTCATCACCAAGATTACGTTATGCCTTGGTGCTTTTCGCTCCTTACCCGCTGGTCGAAAGCTCTATGGCATGAACGAACGTTCCATCCTATCCATCGCCGTGACCCATTGCCTGCGCAACTATTACGCTCTCATGATCTCCGCAATCCTTCCATTTATAGAATGGTCACTGCTAATAGTAGACATTCTTATTGTTCGCCGCCCCTGCTTACTCCTCCCTTCTCTCTTCCGCCTTCCATTCGCTTCCTTGTCTTCTCTTCAACGACCACCTTTCAATGTACTGTAGCATCTCACTTTCCCTACCCCCCGGGAAGTTCCAGCTGTTCGCGTCTGTTCTTTCTCCCACGCCATGCTCGAAAGCCCAACTGTCTACGGTCGCTTCCCCTCTCTTTTTATTGACCACTTTCACTCTCATCTCATGCCATTGCTGTGTACACAGAAGGCTCCTAAGTCTTCTGACGGCGTAGGATTCGCAGCAGTGTTTTCCGGACAGTGACGTACAAGGCATTTGACTATCTTCAGCTAGTAATTTATACTGCTGAATTATTCCATCCTTACAGCACTTATCCGAATGCATCTATGCATGTGTCATCATTGTGGTTGTCTCAGACTCCCTAGGCTTTACAGGCTATACAAAAATATTGATACACTCACCCCTTAGTCCTCTCCGTATCCAACTTTGGCTACGCCCGCATCTTTACAAGCATAAAATATTGTTTTTTGGTGGGTCCCTGGTCATTGCGACAGGGCAATGAAACAGGCAGACACGCCTGCGCGTTCAGCAGTACATGACCTACCAGTTTCTTATTAGAGGTATTCTATGTACGGACTAATTTGCTGTAATATCTTCCCACCGTTCACACCCGTTTGGCAACAACGTTGGTCTACTATGCTCGGCAACAACTTCAGTCAATAAAACCGAGTCTAGTTACTGGCCGTCTTCTTATCACCAGTGTCGAGGTTGGGAGACTACTCTCTCCCGTCTTCGCAATGGCCATACCCGTCTTACTCATGGATATCTCATGGAGAGGCGTCCTTGCTTCCTATCTGTGAGATTGCAAGCCCATTATCAGTCAGCCACATTCTGTTGGACAGCCCACTTTTATCAACGAGCACCAGAATTTACCTCTGTCGTCGTCTTCGCCCCGCGCTCTCTCTTTACCTTCCCTTTCTCGCGGTGGACCCACCTTTCCCATCCGGTCTCCTCTCATGACTTTTTTGACAACGACTGACTTTACTTCACAAATTCTGATACTTCAGCCCATTCTACTTGTATCTCTTGCTACCCACTACCCCCGTACTATTCCCCCTGCCCCGCTGATTTCATGTAACCTTCTGA